ACATTAAGTGGGAAGAAAGGAATCGGATCCCATTTCACATTTCCAAAGACATTTTAAGCTTCTCAGCTGTTCAGACTGACAGAGTTCTGCTTAATTTGAGCAAGCACAGGAGCAGTGAATCTTATATCTGGGAATTCCTGTATAGGTCTGCTAGAAGAAATGCAAAAGGTATATAGTTTAGTGTAACACATCTAGTGTTTTAAAATTGAAAGTGATGTAGTAGTATACTTTTTGATATAATTTCAAAAAAAAAAAAGTAAAATACAAGCTTTCATCTGATGACACTCATGCTGATAACTCATTAAAACCCTACATGTATCAGTGGAGTGACTGGAGGTGACTGTGAAAGTATGGATGGGCTTTAACCTTGGCCCTGCAGAGAATCAAAGCTTGCATTTCCCCTACATGGAGCTCAAACTCTGTACGTGTTTTTGACAGTTTGGGCTTTAGGAGGTTTATCAGTAAGCCAGGTGAGAACTGCCCTTCTGCAGATGAAGGTATTACTAAATATAATTGGTTTTCAGTCCAGAGTATAGATGGTTTGCTACACAAAGGGCTGTTAACGGCAGTGTGGTACCTATAATACACAAAAAAGTATCTACAAACTTGATAAATTCAGCCCAAAATATTCACAAGATGAACAAAATAAAATAATTACAAAAGTAATTTGGATAAGAGGCTGACAAATCCTGGCAGACACAGCAAGAAGGATGGGAATTTGGAAGGTTGGCCTGTCATTAGAATATATATGCACATGTCAGCTGTAATCAGTAAAAGAAACAGAGCTACTACTTAAATACTCTATTGATAAGCAAGGCATAGGTTGTTAGACTTTGAAAGCAATCTTTTACCCAGTTAACATGCTATAGGATCACATTTAATTTCAGAGCAGAGGACCCTAACTATTTTGCTAGTCCTCTTTACCCAGTGTATTTTCACTGTCATCCCTGGAAGTGGGTGTGCAGCAAACCTGTTATCTCTTCCATGGAAATCACCTGGAGCTGTTTCCTCTTACTGTAAGCTCCCTATTTATTACTGCAGCTCAGTCAGAGGTAAAATCCTTTTTCAGGTGGCAAATTGCTATCAAACTGAAGATGACTGTGGTAAGCCAGTTGACTCACTCTACACCTGAGTTACTGTACTAAGTATGAGTTTAAACCTGGACAAGTGTGGCAATATAGAGAGATACCAATTGTTTCATACAAATTCACTCTGACTGGATGCTATGGTATCAGTTAGAACAGAAAGCACGCAAACAAGTACATGAACATATAGATCTCTTCAGAATTCTAACGTATCTAATCCCCATTATATAGTAAGATATAGCACTCTACATTTGGTTAAATCTGCAGAAAAAATGTAGTGAATGGCAAATCCTTTTCCTGTTGAAGGACAAGGAGGATCTGCTACAGACAGGTATAGCATCCTTAACCAGGGAAACAGTGCTGGAACATCTCTTCTTTTCATAATTGTCCCTTGCTATGACTCTTGTAGAATCTGTGCTCTCGAGTTTCCACTATAGCTTTGTGGCAGGGGTTGGCCATGCAGGTATGTTTCTTACCCATTTCTGATCTATGCATGTAATTCAGCTACAGGTTTTAAAAAGAAATGCTCCTTTCTCTTGGTTTTCTAATTATTTTTCAGATGAGTCAAACAGCCAAACCGTCAAGCTCAGTGTATAGGCAACCAGCTGCAGACTGCCAGCTGCCTCTGTGCCTGGGAACCCCATAAACTAGATCAGCTGAACAAGCATATGTGACCTCAGTTGGTATTTTTGCCCCCTGTGTAACACGCACAATTTTTTTCTCACTGATTCAGTCTGCCATTCAGTTTCAGGTGCTTTTTGTAGTGTGACGTCTATTTTCATTTGGTGCGGTTCTTCCTTTTATAATGTTAATTTGGCACTATCACCAATTCAATCATATTTATGTCAACCAATTAGAGATCATTTGTGTGGGTACTGCTGCATTAGCTAACTGTAATTTTAGTCTGTGGTCAGATATTGTGGTTTTCCTGGTACTCTTTGAATAGGCTGTTAATAAATAAAATAACATGAAAATGTGGTAGCTTAAATCCTTTTTATAAGAAACAAAATACTTGCATTATTTTTTGGTTTTCCTCCTAGTTGTAGCTGTTCCTTCCTCCAAGAATAGGTACATATCTGGGTGAGCAACGTTAGGTCATGGGGGGGTTTAGTTACACAGTTAAGCCGTATCTTCACTGGGTGCTGAGTTTTGTCTTGGCTTGTTGGGTATGGAGGTTCTTGGGTCTTCTGCAAGGCCTCTGACCATGATTTTGGCATAGCATATCTCCCAGTTTCTTTGGCTCCTGACCTTGACTTGACCTGCTGTACCTCCAAACTCATTAAGGCTGATTTGTAACCCCATAATCTTGCAGATTAAGGGTTCAACAGACAAGGTCAAATTTACCCTGGCTGGTAACCTCTTTTCAAAAATTCAGTGGTTTTTCTCAAGCCTTCTCATGTCCATGGCCTGGTTTAATTATTTTCCTGTTAGGTTTTTTGAAATGGATCTTGGATTTGCCTTTGCAGTAATCTGTTTGCATTACGCTGCTACTGGGAAGTGCCTTTTACAAAGCATGGCTGGGAGCTGTGATTTGGTGATTAAAAACCCAATAATCCATCTGCTCAGCTGTGTCTTAGGTGTGTGGTCAGAGTAGAGAAGCTGGGGTGTTAGTGTGTAAGCCTGAGATTAAACCACAGTTCATCAAGTCTTCTGTGAAGTTCGTAGGATTTGGCTCTTGTCAAATCTCAATCCTTATCAGGTAAATTTTGTGTTTATCTTTCTCCCTTCAAAAATGAGGGAGTTTTTATCTCTTGATCCTAAAAAGCAACTCTTCCCTGGTCCAATACAGAAGCATGGCTTGTTTTCCCCACTTCCTTCATTTTCTAAATAACAACATTTTTCTTGTGCTGTCTTCCTCTTTCTCTCTAACTGCTTCAAAAATTTCTATGGCTCAAATTCATCATTTTTGGTTATAGAAAGAGAAAACTACTTTCTCTAGCCTCAGAGGTTATGTTACACTTTCATAAACGAGGTCTGTAACATATAATCTATCCTTTTAAAAATATCTTATTATGTCATCTGTGAAATTAGTAATTCTTTGTGCATTTTCAGGGCAGTCTGATCATGTTCTGTTCTTTAACATATTTATTAAACATGACAAAAGGTTTGGTTCTTTTGCACTCATTATTTAAGAGTACTCATCCCTGGTTTGAGCATTTTAAAGAAAATAAACAAAATGCAAACTTCTGCTTGAGTCCTCCAAACAGAAATATTGCGTTTGTTCCAAATTACATCTTTCGTAAGACATTGGTGACAAACATACTAATTTCTCTGAGTACAAAAATACATTTACATTCAGCCAGCAACGGTTAGTTTAGTCTGGCATTATATTTTTTTCAGAGCTGTTGAGGGATTTGTTTAGCCCAATAGGCTTTGTATTGATTTCTGTTTCACTTATTTTGGTGAGCTTCATTCTAGTTTTGTTGTTATATTGATTCAGAGAGGTTTAGCCATTTGAGTTATTACAAGTTGTGCTATATTTATGCTGTAATCCTACTACAATAATCAAGAATTTAGACCTTCACAGCTAATAAAAACAAAACAACCCCTAACAAACAACTTCCCCCCTCCCAAATGAAGTTGCAGTTGGTTTCCAGAAATCTGAAGTACCTCTGTGAAGAACTTACCATATTTCTTTTCCCATGATGCTTTTTTAGGTAACTCAGGGACATTAATTTATATTATTAATTGATAGTTATTGGATGTTGTCCCGGTTTCAGCTGGGATAGAGTAGATTTTCTCCCTAGTAGCTGGTACAGTGCTGTGTTTTGGCTTTAGTCTGAGAACAATGCTGATGTTTTAGTTGTTGCTCAGTAGTACTTACTCTGATCAAGGACTTTTCAGTCCTCTCATGCTCTGCCAGTGAGGAGGGTCACAAGAAGCCAGGAGGGAGCAGAGACAGGACACCCGACCCGACCTAGCCAAAGGGGTATTCCATATGAGCGGCTGCATGTTATTTGCCAACTGGGGTTAAACCATGACAGATGCTATTGCTCATTCCATTTACCTAAAATGTTTATGTAGAATGCTGGTATAAGCCCATGGTTCTGTTTCATGTCATATCTGAGCATTTAATCTATGTGGATGGAACAACAATGTAAATATGAAACCACTGGAAAACAGATGGAAGGATTCTTGTAAATAAATGCAGATATAACAAGCCCCCCTAAATGAATAAAATGATCAGGCTATACTCAGCCATTTCAGCAAATCCCCAATTCATACCTGTTTCCAGCAATTAAACTCAGAAACAGCCCTGCTTTAGCTGTCTGCACACACTGATACGCAACTCTATAATTTTGCAATATGTCTTGGGTCTGATCAAAACCCACAATCAGTAGTTGTCTACCTTTAGTAGGTTGCCTAACTTTAATAGTCAGATGGTCCCATAGAAGTCAGAGGGACTAAGTTGCTTAAAATAAAGCACATCTTAAGAGGATTCTTCTTAGGGAAAAGACAAAAAAAAACCCATATAAGGATGTCGGTTCCAACAGCTCTGGTTATTAAGAATGATAATTCCAGTCTCTTGGAATTACCCTGGCTAACCCAGTGGACCAGAATACTATTTGATAGCACTGCTGTAGAACAAACCTTGCCAGATTTCAAACTGCAGCTTGTGTCCCAAGAGGAAATCTTTCTCCATCGCAGGAAGAATTTGGTCAGCTTCCAAAAGTGGTTTATTCCTCCCTTCTTAATAGAATGTCTTTGGCAGATTTATGTGTGACAGACACCCTCTGCAGCTTAGAGAGCTCTAGGTGTAGAAGAACAAATGATGAGCAATTATGCATTCCACCCCCCCAGGGTGGGAAGCTGGTTGAAAATTATTTGCATACGGAGCTGGGTGTGATGAAAGGATGACCACAAAGTGGACTGAGGCTGTGCAGAGTGAGTGAATGTATTCACATGGTCCAGCACTTATAAATGAATACAATTTTATTTTAATGAACAGTAAAGGCAGGAAACAAACTCTGGTTTAGCCAAGCAAATAGAAACAAACCTGACAGAGCCCAAGTAAAATGGTTTTAAAATGCTCAAAGACTAGCCGTCATGACAATCCATATCATAAGCCACATATTGTTCACTTATCTGAAGACTTTTTTTTGTGATAGATTCTGGAAAAGAGAAAGAATTGGATTATAGAAAATGAGCTCTAATGAGTTCAGTGTGTTCTTTACAGCGACATTTTTAAACATTGAGCTGTTTGGGGGTTTTTGTTCCTGAAGTTTCACAAGCATGATAAAATTAAAGGATAAACTACAAGAAAGTTACATTCCTCCGACAGGAACTTGAAGCTGATCATTACAGTGAGTAATAACAAATTTCCCCTGACTGTTATTCTGTGACAGCTGGGTTTTCATACAGCTCAATCAGGGGTTCTGAAATGAACCTTTAAAACACCTTTACTTCAAAAAAATTACTTTAAATTATTTTTTTTCTGGTTTTATTTTTACACAGACTGACAATCAAGAAATTTGAAATTAGAATCGCCCTTTGGAGAAAAAAGCACACTTTAATAAGTTTATATAAAGAATTTGTGAGTGGACAATATAACATATTGCATAAAAGGATGCTATTATCATCCTATTTCTCCATATTCCCATCTTCCATTTAACTGACAGCTGGAGATACAGATTAATTTAGCTCCTAAATGCATAATATTTTGCAGCTTTCAAGACAGTAATGATTAAAACTAGTCCCCCAGATAGGTCTTTCTTGTGCTAAAAATGTATCTTTAAATTCTTTTCTGTGTGAAACGATATTCCTGGACATTTTGAAATAACAGGCCAAAACAAAGGAGAATTGGGGTGCACCTGCAATGCAAGGATGTTTGGTTGCATACCTAGCATAAAAACCTGCTTATCTAAACCCACTGCTAATCATCTCAAATTACACCTTGAACTAAAACTATCAAACACTTAAAATGCATAATGAAACTGGCATACCATTTGCAGAATTTCAATTTCTGTTCGAAGAGTCTCGCAGATACTTTCCCAATCATCATCTTTGTAATTTTCCAATTCTTTCTTAATCCTGTGTCCAAAACCAAATAAATTTTCAGATCAGAGAACTGTTGCTTGGATACCTATTTTTTCACCTTTGGTCCCAGTTGTCAATTTGACTTATGTTAGAAAACCCTCACTGATGTATTTGATGATCAGGATTTAAGTTTGCTAGTTTTGTAATTGGCAGTCCAAGATGCTGCTCTCCTGCAATATTGTTGGGTTTCATTCAGCCCTGGCAGTTGTGATGACAATGTGAGGTGCTTCAGAAAACGACACTTTGCATTTTTACAAAGTGTATCTTGACTAAGTAGTTTTTTAGAAACATTCCTGGACCGTGTTGTTTTTATAAACCATGAAAGATTTATGGCCTCATTAGTCATAATTTTCCTTATTTAAACATGTGAATTTGGATGTTGATACTTAGGAAGTACCATATGGTGCTGTTCCTACTTTCTCTGGGTATCTGCTTGTAGCCAGAATGTTGAATTTCATGGGTCCTCTGCCTGACCCTGTGCAGCTACTCATGTGCAGTCATTGCTCCACACCCCTCCACAGCCTCCTTTGCTGTTGCTACTGTTCTCTCCCCACTGCTCCTACTATACATCAGTACTTACTGTTTCGCAGTAGTCTCAGTCAGGAATTCTCCAACTTTTCTATGAAAGGTCTAATTTCAATATAAGTATTTTCTTGCATTCAAAAGGGCATTTAGTCCTGCTTAAAAGGAGACACCTAAACTTTGCACATCAGTGCAGTGGTTTAAATTAATACTCGATAGGCCAAGAGAAATCTATGCCAGAGCTTTTAGTAGTCTGGTGAATGCAAGGTGATGAGATTATACTGAGTCTTTCCATGGCTGTCATAAGAAAAGCATAATGAGAAAACTAAAGTTGCTTACCCTTAATACAGTTTCAGTAAACAACATGAGTAATTGTGGACATATAGACAGAATGAAAAAAAAGGAGGAAAAGTATATATTCTGCTTCTCATTAAATAGCTAAACTGATGCATCAAAGCAGGACTGTGTTTCTTCTGAAGTTGGAAGAGGAAGGAACAACCTCTTCTTAATATATACTGCAATAGTGAATAAATTATTTAACCCTGTTATATAGATGATGCACCTCTTTAGCTGTCATACCGCAGAGAGAGTTTGTTTCCTACACAAGGAAATGGATTTATTAAAATCAAAAGGTATAACTTCATATGAAAGGAATATGGGACCACTATTACAAAGGAGTAAATGGCTCTTCTTTCAGAAATAGTCCTCCTGCATTTGGAATACATACAAGTGTTTGAACGAAAGGAAACTTTGCACTACAGTTTAAGAAACGAAGAATTCACTGTGCTGTAGTGCATTGCTAGTTTACAGACCGTTTTCATTGAAAGAAGTTCATTTCAAGATCTAAGATCAGCTTCTGATCTTGATTAAATCAGCTTAACTTCATTGCCTTGCCTCTTAATTTTTTTTCCTGTGTTCTCTGTTAGCATGATATTGGAAGCCTAATTTGTTAAAGACAAACAAAAGCCCTACTTTGCCTAATTTACTTTAGGAAAAGACATAGTCTGTTAATCTCAGAAAATGTTCTCTCATTGTCTCCCACACTGTAAAATTGATGCATAGTCTGTTTGCTACTTGTCAGCTAAGGATGATACCAGTCCATGTTAGGTGTACATGACGCTAGAACATCAAGAAGATAAGCAGTAGGAGTTGCTCATCTGTGTCTTGGGATTTTGAATTAATTGCTATTGATGATGTGCTTTGAAATGGGAACATTTTGTGTGTGCATTTAAAAATTTTAAGCAAAATCTTTCATAAAACTTCCAAATGTGGAGACAGCACAGCTCCTTACATAGCAATGGGTAGTGGTGATAAAAGGTGTTCATTTACATGTGGTGTTTAATTTTTACATTAATCAATTGATTCTGCTTCCAGGTCTTCCTTCTTTCTTATTTAGAAGCTAGATAATTACAGCATGTGCCAGGAATATTATATTCACAAAAGAAGGGCTGTCTGTTAGGTTACAGTCTACACAATTAATGCATTGGAGACGCCTGGGTTACTGAATAAATGATGAAGTTATATTGAATGATGAAGTTTTACCAGAAGGAATGTGAGACAACGGAACTATTAAAAAAAAAAAAGAAAAAGAAAAAAGAAAAAGCTTAACCTGGAAGCAAATGTGGGGGGTTTTTATTTTATATTTAAGATACGCAAGATATTTATATTCATCTTTCCACTGTCATGTTGCATGTGCACACTGATGAAACTACACAGTTTAGAGGGAAAGGCAGGCTTTCTGTCACCTTTGGAAATAGAAAGAGATGTACCATTTGCCATAACAAAGATTAATATGACAATTATAGACTCCTTATGACTATGATGAAAAGCAAATGTCTTTGAAAATGTTGTCTGAAAAATTACATTAGCATTTGGCCCTCCATGGCCTCTGTTTTTGTTTTATTTTTAGCATTTTGTTCTCCTTGATGAAAATAAAATTTGTCTTTTAAAAAGCCATTGCACTGGATTAATAGTGTATTGGTAAATTACAGCATCATGGGTAATGGGCTCTACTGAACAGCTGGAGCTGAAATGCCGTATTTGAAAGGCGGTTTGGTTATTCCTCTGAAGAAAATATTCAAGAAAAATAGCAATAGCCAAATCTAGCCTTAAATCTACTTTCTATCCGAACAACAGCATCAGCATTTTTTTGGACGCTAGCTTGTCCTAGACTGAGCTCTGCTATCAGTGGTCCATTTTCCATAACTCTTGAATGCCAGAAGTGACAAAGAGATGAAGAAGGAGGAGATCCCCGAAGGTGATCGATTTTGCAGCTTTGAAATGAGCACAGCTATTAAGTGTCATTGGCATTCATAGTTGATACGCACTCTTCTTGAGTTTCAGCTGTATATGCAGAAGACAAACAGGGAAAATAATTGTGAAATCAATACATGCTAGTATTATGAATTGAACTGTGATGAAAATAATGTTATTGTCAAACAGGTGTCTCTTAAAATCAAGCACAGATTGAAATTACTGGATCAAGGCTTCAGTAGCGAAAACTCGCATTCCAGGAATAATTTTACGTAAAGAGGTCTCAAAGAACTAGTGTGTGTAGAAGGCAGCTTGAATATGTGTTTGTAGAGCCTTTTTTTCTAAGTGGGCATGGAAGACCCTACCTGGTTGCTGTTGGAGTTGCAGAAGAAGCAAACTGTCTCTTGGTTATATTTTGCTGAGACAAGTAAAACATCTTTTTCTTATTTTCCATTTTGTCTTTGCCTTTTTTATGACCAGTATTTTATTTTTTAACAATAAATAGAAGGGAAAACATTAGAGTGGATTACAAAGCAGAATTGCTTGACACTGATATACAGGGCATAGAACTCATGGTATAAAATGGAATTCCCTAAGAAGTTTATATACAACTTGAGAGTATGTACATTGATTTTTCTGAGTTTTATTATAAAAATCAGGAAAAATATTTATCAAAGTTTTAGGACTTTATTGAGACAGAAGAAGACAAGACTTCAGTTTATTGTGTCAAGACAAAAGTAGAACTAATGCATTGGCATCATCCAGTCTCAATTCAATACTGAGACTAAATTGATGTACATCTTTCTATAGTAAAAGCAGGATTTTGCTCGGTATTTACAATTTGCTGACAGTACTAAACAGAAAATACTATTGATACAACTGAAGAAGTCAATAAATTTCAGGCTGTTATCAATTGATTGAAGAAGTGAGAAAATGAGATCTAAATGGAATTCAGTATCTCAAAATATAATGTCAAGCACTTGAACAATTGTGCTGAACAATTAAATTATAGAAGTATGTGCTTGATGGAGCAGAAATAGAATAAAAATTAAGAAAGTGATCTAGTAGTAATAATAAATGCTAGGAAGAAGATGAAACATGAAAAATGCTAGGAAGAAGATGAAACATGAAAGTGAGCAGCATACTAAGATAAGTAACAATGAGAATTAAACGTAAATTTAAATAAACAGAAATACCTTAGGTAAAATAAGAAAATTTCATCTTTTACGGTTCTAGACCAAATAGTTTTAAAATACGTAATTATCATTGATTAAAGTTTGTGTGTGGCAACTGAGGCACAGATTCCAGTTGTGGTGCAACCGAAATCATTTATTGAGCGAGCTTACAGGCTTTTTATAGACCCCTGCCTAGCAGTTAGTATCTACAGCATTCCCCACACTCGTGTTTCATGAATGCTATTGGGAAACTTTATAAAAGTAGTTATAGGTTTTGAAAAGTGTGGTTTGTATTTTGGTTTTGGTTTGGTTTTAATTTGTATTCCCTAAATACATAAAACATCCCAAGAAGTCTTTAAGGAATATATTATTATAGATGAATAAACCTGGAAAGGTTAAGGTCCACTGAATTAATCTGCTCATTTAGGGTGAGATTTGCTTTTGTGAATATAACAAACTGAATTTACACAACTACTTTTCATAGGAACTTTATCAATGCTTGCACTTGATCTTAAAGGTCTTTTCCAAGCTAGTTGACTCTATGACTTTCTGTGACTCTATAATAAGTTACAGAGAAAAGAAAAAATGTACAAGCATCAGAAACATCAAAACTGAAATGTGTTTCTAGGGGTCAATAAGATTCCTATTGAAAGGCGGGGAAAATAAATATAGGTCAACAAGTCTTATAGTTCAAATATCTTGATTTTTTTATCGTACAGGGAAAGTCAGGTCTCAATCTGGATGTATTAATGCAACTACCCTATTGCTGAAATTATTATCTCTATACTGTGCTGCTTTGCTTCATGTAATTTTGTCAGCTATAAAGGGTTTAGAGTTCTCCTTGTTCTGCAATAAGGGCTCTCCATTCTCTGCTCATCTTCCAAGCTGAATGCAACTTCCTGGAACAGTGGGTGAGAGATTTATACACAGTATACTTACACCCTCCTGGTTTGTTTTTTTTGTTGGAAATATCTCTTGCTTTTATCTTTGCCACAGCTATATTTCCTTTTGATGTTTATAGTTGTCTTTTGATTATGTAGAATG